CAACCAGGATGACGTGTGTTCCAAATTTATAACAGGAAACTTTGAAATAAAACTGGAACTCTTTGTTGTTGCCAAGTCAAGTTCAATTCATATAAACGTTACTATGGCTTTCCGTCTCAGAAAATTTGTTTCCTGTTACTGCCCCCCCCCCCCGAAAAGAAGATTCCCTAGATGTGAAATGATGCTTGTATAGAATTACGTTTGGTTGAATCACAGAGCAACGACCACATGATTGAAGCGCTCTTCTGCAGTAGTGCAGTAGTGCAGTTGTGCTAATCATTTATGGATACATGTATTCATTGTTGCATCGTCATGTCCGATTTACATTATAATGCTAAACTCACATCATCGACGGACAAGCTGTATAAAAGGCGTCTTCAATTTCTCCAATCTTTCCAGCCCAATATACTGATACCATGGCAACCCAGGTTTCCAATGTCGGTTTGGCTCAAAATGCTGCAAAAGCTAGTAACACCTTTGCATCTAACCTCTTCCGAGTGTTGACTGAGGGAGGAAGCTCCAACAACAACATCTTCTTTTCTCCTATGAGCATCTCCACTGCACTTGCTATGACCTTCATGGGGGCACGTGGTGAGACAGCAAGCCAGATGAGTCAAGTCCTTCACTTCAACATCTTGAAGAATCTGTTCTCCATCAGTCATTTGCTGACCTGAGTGCCCAGAGTTACTATGCTGATGCTCCTTTCACTCTGATAGCTGCCAACAGATTGTTTGGTCAAAAAGGTTTGGATGTCCTTGCGACATTTGTTGATGACAGCAAGAAACACTACGGAGCCAGTATGGAGACACTTGATTTCATTGGTGATGGGGAAGGTTCTCGTCAACACATCAACTCCTGGGTGGAGAAGCAAACTGCAAACCGCATCAAAGACTTACTTGCTGCGGGGCCTATCGATGATTTGACTTGTTTGGTGGTGGTCAATGCTCTTTACTTCAAAGGAGCCTGGGATACCAAGTTTAAGGTCTCCAATACTTTTCCTGAGAAGTTTCACATTTCGGTAACCGAGGATATCAACGTTCCCATGATGCACCAGACAGACAAGTTCAAATTTGCTCGTGATGATTCCGTGAGCAGTTCTATCCTGGAGCTACCTTACTTCACGGACCGTCTACCTAACTTCAAGGACCGTGTACCTAAAATATGGAAGCAAGTGAGCATGTTCAGTGTGTTACCTGATCAAGTGGATGGGCTGGCTGATGTGCAGAAGAAGTTGAGTCAAGAGAAGATTGACTCCTGGGTGACAGAAGCTCATATGCGTGAACGTTCTACTGTCATCGTTTCTCTGCCAAAGTTTACCCTGGAGCAGGACTTTGTCTTGAATGATGTATTGAGGAAGATGGGTATGAATGATCCATTTGATGCTGACAAGGCCGACTTCTCAGGGATGACAGGAGACAAAGATGTCTTCATATCCAAAGTGATCCACAAGGCTTTCTTAGATGTGAATGAAGAAGGAAGTGAGGCAGCAGCAATAACTACATTTAAAATGAACTGGCGTTGCCTAGATCTTCCATCGAAGAATCCTCCAGAATTCAAGGCAGATCACCCTTTCTTGGTGTTCATTTATGACATTAAATCCAATGCAGTTTTGTTCATGGGACAGCTGTGCAAACCAAAACAGTAGACTTTGATTTGTGGCAAAGTATGAAGAATTGTGAATGAGTATAGATGATGTCTTGAATCACTTGACATCGTTCAACTAAACAGCACTTGATGTTTAATACACAGGCATATAATAGTCTTTTGATTAAGCACTCTATAATAAGGAAAAGTTGCCTTACAACTTGTACCCTAAAATCAGAATGTATAACGTAATATAAAGTTGGATTAAGCGCATGTTCCTTAACCATGATAGATGGCATATAATATAAAACATTGTTGCTTTTGTTTTGGTTTTTGTTGTTGACAAGTTACTTGTAGGAACTTCAGATTTAATGTGTTCATATTGAATTGATAAAAACAATTGTGTTTTGTTGCTTGGAGTGGACAGTGAAACAAAAAGTGTATCATAGAAGCTTGTAATGAATATAACATTTATATAATTATTTAGATATTCTTTTAAAGATTAATATATGTTTGTAATCAAGACATATTTCAAATGAGACTGGCATATTAATGTATTTGCAACAGGCTTTCATTTCAACGTGGCACATGTTAAGATGTAAAAGAGAGTTACACTGTAAATACAGAAAGGTGGATACATTCACGAATACTTTGAAATCAAAACCAAAATCTGAAACCACGGCAAATTGAACACACAACTTATTGGTTTCCTCAAACATTGTAAAAAACCAAGAATTAATGTGTGTTCACTGCACAGGGCATAACGTACAACCTCAAACATGTGTTTAAACAGATCCACAAAGTAACTAGATATCAGAATCATTACGGAATTTCAGGCAAACCTTGCACCGAAAAAATTCACACTGGATTCAAGCACCGATAAAGTGCATTGTTACATTTACAAAGCAATGTGTGTTAAGTCGCCTGGAAACATTCTAGAAAAATATAATATGTGTGTAAGTGAAATATGTGGAGAATTCTTGACGTTGAATATTTCAGATGAGAGTTTATCTGGAAAAAATGCATATATGTGATTGTAAATGGACTATATGTCAATTTTGGATAAAGTAGGCCTAACTTAGTTTCAGATTAATAGCGTGTAACTTTATAAGCTGAACATTTAATGAAGTAGGAAAAAATGTATGTAAAATAAAACAGTCAATTGGCATTTTCGTATTAGTCTATTGATGTAATCACAGAGGTACGTATAAATACATGTAGGCCTAATAAGAGAGATGATAATAGGTAGATGCAAACATGTACCAACTATGAACTACATTTGAGCTTGCATTGGCTCATACTTGTACGGAAATCACAGGCTGGGAAAGAGAAAAACAACACCAAAACTGTCTCATGATCAAAACCAATTTTTTTTAGTGATCTCAACATGAAAAGGCGTTTGATTGCTTGTTTGATATAAATATGATCAACTTGGGCCTAGTCAATGTTTCTTTACATAGGACCTGATGTACCTTGAAACTACAAATAAAAACATTATTATTAGTTGCAAAACCTACTTCGAGTCAGAAAGAAATCATCGTCTGAACTATCCATATGTCGACGGGAGGAGACGGGAAAAATGTTGCAACCTGACGCCGTTTTTTCTTCATATTATCATCTCAATGAAGGTCATTCATTGCAAAAATGACGATAAGACATGAATCTGGGACCGAGAAATATTTCCAATTTTGTTAAGAATTACTTATGTAACCAGGTCGGGTTTTCGTTTACACTTTTACCCGACAGGTTCCCTACTCCATCATGCATCACATGACATAACTTTAGTAAATTACTTGCATGTCACTTTGTCAGCCATGAGCGTTGCGTTTACGATCGATCATCTTTTGCCTAGCGCCCTTTTGCGGCCAACTAAAAAATTTTAGCACAGCATGCGCCACCAAGAATTTTGCCCGCTACTTTTGAAACTATGCAAAGAGCGTAACGAGAAGGCGAGTTCTACATTCCACGCGCTTTATTTAGGCCAAAAAAAAAAGTCTCCGGTTTCTGGTATGCGCGCGCGTCGCCGTAGCCATGCGCGTCGGCAAAATGAAAAAGTTTTTTTTCAATACAAAATGATGTTTCAAAACCGCCAAACTCACTGGTTTGACTGGAATTCTGCTGCTGCACAATTTTAACGTGTTTTTAGATGGGGTTATGATCGAGAATAAGCTTTATGTGGCCTCTCTGGAGTCCCATATATTTGCACTAAGTTTAGTCGGGCACCATTTGCAGTCATCAGCCGACATTTGAAGCAAAAAAAACACAGGTAAAAAAAAAAAAAGCCGCGTCGCCGCACCACTTTTGGGGCAAGCTCCATACCAGAAACCGGAGACTTTTTTTTTTGGCCTTAAGTTAGATAGCGGGCATTCCGGGCGTTTAGTATAGTTTTCCTGTAGGGCTAAGTCCTTAATATCGTTGATTCCGTTCCAACTCTACTTTGAGTTGACATCTTCCAGCTCCTGCTCCTGCTTTGCGACCAGCATTTTATAGCGAGCATTGCACACTCCACTTTTATTACTGAAAATTTTGGGTGCGGCTCCCCGTTGTAGCAGCAATATAATTTTTTAGCCGGCGTTGCCGGCACTGCAGTTTTCTGCATTATTTCCTTCAATTTTGCTGCTGATTCTTCGATTTTAACATCGAGCACGGAGAGGAAGGCATGAACGTAGGTCATCCTAAGTGGTGAGTAAATCCCTAGTGTGTTATTTAACTTTTTATGCCTCTTTTTTTTGATGCCGTAATCTTTTTATGCAACATCTGTTCACTTACTGATGTATTTATAAAAGTATTCTTTGATTTAAAAATAAGAAAAACAGTGTTTCCCCGAATTACTTTGTTCTTGCGGACAGCTGAATTAGGTTCCAGTCGTTGTTCCTGCTGTCACTGGACACTTTTTTATTTAGACTGGTACGCCGCATTAGAGGGTCGTATAACTCGTATTGATTCCACGTTGTAATGGCTTCCCTTTGATTAGCCAGCGGAGCACTGATGCATTTTTTTAAGGCGAGCTGCGCTAGTGTGCCATTTACTGCACTGTTCATGCAATGTAAACCTGTTTATATACTTTATTTAACTTGCTTACCATAGGAAATGCATTGTATGTTTTTACTGTTCTTTGACAACCAATAAAAACAAGACAAAGAACATAACGAAATTTTACCTAAGAAACACATATTGCGCCTGCTTAGAGAGTGAACCATTTAAAACTAATTCATATCACTCTCCCCAGTTACATAGGCCTAGGCATCTAATTATTTGGGACTGAATAGTTAAAGCAGACCTGAAAATAGCGCCCTCTTTTTTGCACTAAGATTGAGCGTATGGTGGCGATATTACAGAACTAATGCTAATTCCGTTTACTTGATCGGGCGGATCCAAACTTCCGGCTTTGTCAGTGTTCTTTCCGCGCAGTTCCGCTTCAACTATCGTCTTGTGTGACTGCGCCCAGGCAGAACTTTTCAGATTATCATATCGGTAAGTTTCTTAATACCCCCCCCCCCCCCCCCCTGTGTTGTCGTTGTTTATGCCGATATTTCTGTCGTGTGAATTGTCAATTTGGTGATTTTGTTTCAATGGATATCCGGGTTGTTATTCGGTGTTGAACTTGAACGTGTGTGAATTTGTACACTTCAGGAATGCAGTATCGCAATAGCCAATGCAACCGTGTTTTTACAGGCACGTCACCTCGTATTTGGTTAACCAACCAATAGGTGTGTGCATTCACGGGTAGAACTGGTACCCTGTGAAGTAAAACATGGGTACACGGGTACCCTAAAAGAAACCCAACCCTCAAAATTCAAATCCCAGGAGTTGTTGTTCAAATTAATTTATATTTATATTAACAGTCAAAGTTAATCTATGTGGAGTAGAAAGCAGTTGTTGAAATCTTGAATATCTTTCCATAGGACCCCATACAAATATGTTGCACCACTGTGTAGTCATAAAAAGCTTATCAATCCGTGCTGTATTCCCGAGTGCTGATCTACCAAATTATCGAGGCTCATGAAGGACTCTCATACATGAAGTGACTTTCGTTTCTTAAAAAGCAATCAAATTTGAACACCAATGAAGTATATCGTAAAGAGCATGTTCTTCCACTCATCTTAAAATAATGATTATACTGAAATTACTCAATGCTATCGGACGTTGTGCATGTTTTACTAAAACAACCAATTTTTATAGCTGTCCATGGAATGCAATTTAGCTGAGTGAGAATTACAGATTTTACACAAGCATGCCGATTCAAATGAGATTTTAATCACTTCAATCAAGACTGAAACATTATTTCTACTGTCAGATTTTGTATTTTGAATTTGAGGAATAAGTTTGTTTCCGAAATGATAATTGCGATTTTGGTATGCTTTGCTTTGTAAGATCTCCTTCATTCATTCATTGTTCGTAGACCTGTAAATAATTTATCAGTGGTGCATGGACAGCTGAGTTTTGTGATTTTATGTTATTGAAATAGACGTTACTTGGGAATAGAGTACACACATTTCGTGGAATTTTCACAGTTAGTAGTCAATAACATGTACTTTATAGTTGTTTTGTTATGAAACGGAGCGAGCCACATATTGATTTTATATTTTTTCCCAAGTTGGTCACTTCCGTTTTGACTCACCCGATATTGTTAGTCCCAACCAGGATGACGTGTGTTCCAAATTTATAACAGGAAACTTTGAAATAAAACTGGAACTCTTTGTTGTTGCCAAGTCAAGTTTAATTCATATAAACGTTACTATGGCTTTCCGTCTCAGAAAATTTGTTTCCTGTTACTGCCCCCCCCCCCCGAAAAATATTCCCAAGATGTGAAATGATGCTTGTATAGAATTACAAGCATCAAATTACGTTTGGTTGAACCATAGAGCAAAGACCACATGATTGAAGCGCTCTTCTACAGTTGTGCAGCTGTGCTAATCATTTATGGATACATGTATTCATTGTTGCATCGTCATGTCCCATTTACATTATATGCTAAACTCACATCATCGACGGACAAGCTGTATAAAAGGCTTCTTCAATTTTTCCAATTCTCATTTTCCAGCCCAATCTACTGATACCATGGCAACCCACGTTTCAGATGTCGGTCTGGTTCAAAATGCTGCCAAGGTTACTAACACCTTTGCATCTAATCTCTTCCGAGTGTTGACTGAGGGAGGAAGCTCAAACAACAACATCTTCTTTTCTCCTTTGAGCATCTCCACTGCACTTGCTATGACCTTCATGGGGGCACGTGGTGAGACAGCAAGCCAGATGAGACAAGTACTTCACTTCAACATCTCAAAAGAATCTGCTCTTCATCAGTCATTTGCTGACCTGAGAGCTCTGATTTTCAGTCCTAAAGCTCCCGCTGGTGAGACAGCAAGCCAGATGAGTCGAGTTCCTCCTTCCAACAGCTCAGAAGAATCTGCTCCTCATCAGTTAATTGCTGACCTGGGTGCTGAGTGGTTCCGTGCTGCAACTCCTTGCACTCTGGTAGCTGCCAACAGATTGTTTGGTCCGAAGGGTTTGGATGTCCTTGCGACATTTATTGATGACAGCAAGAAGTACTACGGAGCCAGTATGGAAATTCTTGATTTCATTGGTGATGGGGAAGGTTCTCGTCAACACATCAACTCCTGGGTGGAGAAGCAAACTGCAAACCGCATCAAAGACTTACTTGCTGCAGGATCAATCGATGATATGACTCGCTTGGTGCTGGTCAATGCCATCTACTTCAAAGGAGATTGGGCTGCCAAGTTTGATTATCAGCACACAAATTTTAATGGGAAGTTCCGTACTTTGGGTGGGTCCGAGAAGATTACCATGATGCACCAGACAGACAAGTTCAACTACGCTCGTGACGATTCCGTGAGCAGTTCCATCCTGGAGCTACCTTACCTCAAGAAGGAAATGAGCATGTTCATTGTGTTACCTGATCAAGTGGATGGGCTGGCTGATGTGCAGAAGAAGGTGAGTCAAGAGAAGATTGACTCCTGGGTGACAGAAGCTCGTATGCGTGCCAGCCCTACTGTCATCGTGTCTCTTCCAAGGTTTAACCTGGAGCAGGACTTTGTCTTGAATGATGTCTTGAGGAAGATGGGTATGAATGATCCATTTGATGTTGGCAAGGCTGACTTCTCAGGGATGACAGGAGACAAAGATGTCTTCATATCCACAGCGATTCACAAGGCTTTCTTAAAGGTGAATGAAGAAGGCAGTGAGGCAGCAGCAGCTACATCTTGGCTTAAGGGCATGGGTATCGATTTCCCACCAAAAGGTGCTGTAGAATTCAATGCAGATCACCCTTTCTTGTTGTTCATTTATGACAATAAATCCAGAGCTGTTCTGTTTATGGGACAGCTGTGCCAACCAAAACAGTAGACTTTGGTGTGGCAAAGTATGGATAATTGTCAATGACTGTATAGCAGGTGTATTGAAGCACTTAAGCTAAACAGCACTGGATGTGTTATCAAGGGCGGATCCAGAACACAATTTTTGGGGGGCCAAAAAAAAAATTTTGCCCCCAAAAAAGTGGGTCTAAAAAATTACGGCGTGGGGTTCGGGGCCCGCTTAAGGGCCCCGAAAATTTTTTTGGATTCTAGATGCTTTGTGTTGCGATCTGAGGCAATTTCTGACCACTTTAACCAATTTATTTTGAGGAAAAGATGGTGGTGTACTCATTGCCTGCCTTTATTGCGATGTCACATTAAAAAAAAAAAAAAATTGGTTTCGTTTTTGGGGGGGGGGGGCCATGGCCCCCTTTGCCCCCCCCCCCCCCCCCCCCTGGATCCGCCCTTGTGTGTTATATACACAATGCATATGTGATCTTTTGATTAAAACAAAATTCTCTTTAGACTTGTTGGTTAAAAAAGTATAACGTATAATGTTAAAATAAGCTCCTGTTCTTGAACTGTGATAGATGGTATAATATTATATAGCATTTTGTTCTCTCTTTTTTCTTTAGAGAAGTTCAAGTTTGTTTTTTTCGTCAACATGAATTTATAAAGACATTTCGTTTGTTGCTAGGGAATGGACAGCGAATCAAAGAGTGTACCATTGAAGCTTTTGATGAACAAAAACAATTATAAAATTATTCACAGATTCTACAGGTATTATAAAAATAAACTGATGTGTATAATCAGGAAGTTTTTTAATTGAAACTGGCAGATTTATGGAATTGCAACAGACTTATATTTTAGCGTGGCACACTTTGGAGATGTAAAATGAAGTTATAATATGAACACAGAAAGTTGGATGAATTAAGGAATACTTTCAAATGAAAATCAAAAACGGAAACCCTTGAACATTGGCCACAAAGCACATTGGTTTCATCAAACATTGTAAAAGGCCAAGAATGAATGTGTGTGTTCGCTGCACAGGGCAAAACTGGCAACCTGTGTTAACATAAATCCACAAAGAAACTAGATATCAGAATCATCATGGGACTGAGGCAAACCTTCTACCAAAGAAATTCATACTGCGTTCAAGCACTAATAAAGTACATTGTTACATTTTCATTTCGTGCGTTAAGTCACATGAAATTCAATCAGGAAAAATCATAATATAATGCCTGAAGTGTAAGTGAAATATGTGGAGAATCCTTAACGTTGAATCGTAAATATACGCCCTTGTAACTTTATATGCTGAAAAAAATAATGACGTAGAAATGTACGTACACTAGCAATTAACAGTAAACATGGCAGTTTACTATTAGTGTATTGTTATAATCACAGAGGTACGTATGTGCATGTAATAACAGACGTGATAAAAGACTGTGCGTGTTGTTAGACGGGTTTAATTTCTGGTGATTATGTTTTGCCTTATCTGTGAAATCATCCAAATCATTTTGTAAACATGGTCATTCCAATGATTCGTCTATTTTCGGCATAGGTAAGATCATTGACATATTTCCAGTATAAGGAATTAGCACTCAGAGCTGCATCATTTATAATAATTAGAAAACCTGCAGGTGCTTATTTTTTTTGCACAATGGACGCCTCCATTCAGAATAACATACTCAGAAGTATTATTATTAAACCTGATACATTTTAGATTAATAGCATGTAACTTTGATCAGGTGTTTTAACAATTAAGTGTTGCAATACAGCATTTCGTTAGTATTAAACTGTTCGCAAAAAGTACTAGGCCTGCATATACTGAATTCCTGAGTTCAATTCCAAGCCCTAAATACATACACCCTGCTGTGATAGTCTTTGTTGCAATCGTTACGGTTCTATATTCGTGCCCTGTACCCTCGGGCCTTGACACAATGTCTGCGACGATAAGCTATTGAACAAATACGTGGGATTTCGACGTCTGGATTTCAAAATTGGAAGGAAAAATAATGGAATTGAGGTCATCTAAGGCTATGAAAAGAATTGTTGGTCTAGTTTTTGACGCGCCAGCAATGCCTCTTCTCTTTACATTGTTTGTTGTGTAACCTCTACGATCAAAGGAAAGAATTCCGCAAATCTGAAAGTATAAATAACACTCCAAGATGTTGCGTTTAGTCTATCGACTGATGAGTGTGTCCCACAGTATATACACTTATAATCTGTATAATAATGTCTTGGTGAAGTTTCCTGCTTTAGTGACAAGTGGGAACGACCGTTTTTATTGCGGGCATGACCAGTCCCACCTTTTGTAAATGGCTGCCACACCCCTAAAAGGGTAAATTTGCGAAGGCTCCACATCCAAAACATTTTCTCGCATAATCATCTGTGCCAAGTTTCACGTTTTTATGAAAAAAAGTGCACAATATTTTGTCACATATCTGCAGGACTGTATTAGCCAGTGTTGCATGAGGTTTTTTTTCTAGTGATAGATTTTCCATTTTGCCACATCACGGCCTCAAAACGCACATGCGTGATTGCATGAATACAGCCTCGTCACGGACATCATATTGAGCACAGCATGGCACTGTCTCGCGTTCATTTGTGTGTTTTTTTAATTAATGGGTATACATTTTGTAGCATGTCATATTTAAAGGCATATAAGATCATTTGCTCTTCATGCATTTTGTTTGTGTCCAATAATAGCACCACTCAAAATCCAAAGAAAATTTGGCAATGCTAACCTATTGAAGTTTCAGCTCAGTGGAGGATAGTATAATTTTTGAGAAAACAGTGAAAAGCAAGCACAGTCATGAAACACGATTTCGTCCACAGCACTCTCTGTATTCGCAAATCAGTCTGCCACTTGTTGCGGTATCAAAACGTGATCCTGAGAGGTTCAAAGAGTGTTCCCCAAAATGCAGATAGGTCCAGACAATAGTTAAACCCACTGACTATCTTTTAAGCATTGATTTCCACAACTGTGTAGGCTTTCGTTCACGCAAGATGATTTCAACTCTTAAATTCCTTTTTTTTTTCATTTGAACTTTTTTTAAAGCATACAGCATACAAACTTTACGACTCCAACCACGCGTGCCGCGGCATCCTGCTGGTAGTAAATATGGAATAAAAAGACTATCGGTCGCGCGTGCATAATGTCTGTGGACTGAACATAGACATATAATAAATGTATATAGGCCTAGGCATCTAATTATTGGGACTGAATAGTTAAAGCAGACCTGAAAATAGCGCCCCCTTTTTTGCACTGAGATTGAGCGTATGGTGGCGATATTGCAGAACTAATTCTGATTCCGTTAACTGGATCGGGCGGATCCAAACTTCCGGCTTAGTCAGTGTTCTTTCTGCGCAGTTCCGCTTCAACTATCGTCTTGTGTGACTGCAGCCAAGCAGAACTTTTCAGATAATCATATTGGTAAGTTTCTTAACCCCCCCCCCCCCCATGTTGTCGTTGTTTATGCCGATATTTCTGTCCTGTGAATTGTCAATTTAGTGATTTTGTTTCAATAAATATCCGGGTTGTTATTCGGTGTTGAACTTGAACGTGTATGAATTTGTACATTTTAGGGCCGAGGAATGCAGTATCACTATAGCCAATGCAACCGTGTTTTACAGCCACGTCACCTCGTATTTGGTTAACCAACCAATAGGTGTGTGCATTCACGGGTAGAACTGGTACCCTGTGAAGTGAAACATGGGTACACGGGTACCCTAAAAGAAACCTAACCCTCAAAATTCAAAATCCCAGGAGTTGTTGTTCAAATTAATTTATATTTTATTTTAACAGTCAAAGTTAATCTATGTGGAGTAGAAAGCAGTTGTTGAAATCTTGAATATCTTTCCATAGGCTCCCATACAATTATGTTGCACTGTGTAGTCATAAAAAGCTTATCAATCCGTGCTGTATTTTCAGAGTGCTGATCTACCAAATTATCGAGGTTCATAAAGGACTCTCATACATGAAGAGGGTGACTCGAAAAAAGTGACTTTCGTTTCTTAAAAGCAATCAAATTTGAAACACCAATGAAGTCTTAAAGAGCATGTTCTTCCACTCATCATAAAAAAAATAATAATACTGAAATTGATCAATGCTATCGGACGTTATGCATGTTTTACTAAAACAACCCATTTTTATAGCTGTCCATGGAATGCAATTTAGCTAAGTGAGAATAACAGATTACACACAAACATTCCGATACAAATGAGATTTTAATCACTTCAATCAAGACTGAAACATTATTTCTACTGTCAGATTTTGTATTTTGAATGTGAGGAATAAGTTTGATTCCGAAATGATATAGTTGCGATTTTGGTACGTTTTCCCTTGAATGATCTCCTCCTTTCATATATTGTTTTAATGGTATTCAACAGTTCGTTGAACGGTAAATAATTTATCAGTGGTGCATGGACAGCTGAGTTTTGTGATTTTGAAATAGACGTTACTTGGGAATAGAGTACACACATTTCGTGGAATTATCACAATTAGTAGTCAATAACATGTACTTTGTAGTTGTTTTTTTTATGAACGGAGCGAGCCACATTTTGATTTGATATTTTTTTTCCTGGTTGGTCACTTTCGTTTTCACTCACCCGATATTGTTAGTCCGTACCAGGATGACGTGTGTTCCAAATTTATAACAGGAAACTCTGAAATGAAACTGGAACTATTTGTTGTTGCCAAGTCAAGTTCATTTCATATAAAAGTTACTATGGCTTTCTGTCTAAGAAAATTTGTTTCCTGTTACTGCCCCCCCCCCCGAAAAAAATATTCCCAAGATGTGAAATGATGCTTGTATGGAATTACGTTTGGTTGCATCACAGAGCAAAGACCACATGATTGAAGCGCTTTTCTGCAGTTGTGCAGTTGTGCTAATCATTTATGGATACATGTATTCACTGTTGCATCGTCATGTCCGATTTACATTATAATGCTAAACTCACATCATCGACGGACAAGCTGTATAAAAGGCGTCTTCAATTTCTCCAATCTTTCCAGCCCAATATACTGATACCATGGCAACCCAGGTTTCCAATGTCGGTTTGGCTCAAAATGCTGCAAAAGCTAGTAACACCTTTGCATCTAACCTCTTCCGAGTGTTGACTGAGGGAGGAAGCTCCAACAACAACATCTTCTTTTCTCCTATGAGCATCTCCACTGCACTTGCTATGACCTTCATGGGGGTACGTGGTGAGACAGCAAGCCAGATGAGTCAAGTCCTTCACTTCAACATCTTAGAAGAATCTGTTCTCCATCAGTCATTTGCTGACCTGAGTGCCCAGAGTTACTATGCTGATGCTCCTTTCACTCTGATAGCTGCCAACAGATTGTTTGGTCAAAAAGGTTTGGATGTCCTTGCGACATTTGTTGATGACAGCAAGAAACACTACGGAGCCAGTATGGAGACACTTGATTTCATTGGTGATGGGGAAGGTTCTCGTCAACACATCAACTCCTGGGTGGAGAAGCAAACTGCAAACCGCATCAAAGACTTACTTGCTGCGGGGTCTATCGACGATTTGACTTGCTTGGTGCTGGTCAATGCCATCTACTTCAAAGGAGCCTGGGGTACCAAGTTTAAGGTCTCCAATACTTTTTCTGAGAAGTTTCACATTTCGGTAACCGAGGATATCAACGTTCCCATGATGCACCAGACAGACAAGTTCAACTACGCTCGTGACGATTCCGTGAGCAGTTCCATCCTGGAGCTACCTTACCTCAAGAAGGAAATGAGCATGTTCATTGTGTTACCTGATCAATTGGATGGGCTGGCTGATGTGCAGAAGAAGTTGAGTCAAGAGAAGATTGACTCCTGGGTGACAGAAGCTCATATGCGTGAACGTTCTACTGTCATCGTTTCTCTGCCAAAGTTCACCCTGGAGCAGGACTTTGTCTTGAATGATGTCTTGAGGAAGATGGGTATGAATGATCCATTTGATGCTGACAAGGCTGACTTCTCAGGGATGACAGGAGACAAAGATGTCTTCATATCCAAAGTGATCCACAAGGCTTTCTTAGATGTGAATGAAGAAGGAAGTGAAGCAGCAGCAATAACTACATTTAAAATGAACTGGCGTTGCCTAGATCTTCCATCGAAGAATCCTCCAGAATTCAAGGCAGATCACCCTTTCTTGGTGTTCATTTATGACATTAAATCCAAAGCAGTTTTGTTCATGGGACAGCTGTGCAAACCAAAACAGTAGACTTTGATTTGTGGCAAAGTATGAAGAATTGTGAATGAGTATAGATGATGTCTTGAATCACTTGACATCGTTCAACTAAACAGCACTTGATGTTTAATACACAGGCATATAATAGTCTTTTGATTAAGCACTCTATAATAAGGAAAAGTTTCCTTACAACTTGTACCCTAAAATCAGTATGTATAACGTAATATAAAGTTGGATTAAGCGCATGTTCCTTAACTATGATAGATGGCATATAATATAAAACATTGTTACTTTTGGTTTGGTTTTTGTTGTTGACAAGTTACTTGTAGGAACTTCAGATTTAATGTGTTCATATTGAATTGATAAAACAAAAGTGTGTTTTGTTGCTTGGAGTGGACAGTGAAACAAAAAGTGTATCATAGAAGCTTGTAATGAATATAACATTTATATAATTATTTAGATATTCTTTTAAAGATTAATATATGTTTGTAATCAAGACATATTTCAAACGAGACTGGCATATTAATGTATTTGCAACAGGCTTTCATTTCAGCGTGGCACATGTTAAGATGTAAAAGAGAGTTACAATGTAAATACAGAAAGGTGGATACATTCACGAATACTTTGAAATAAAAAACAAAATCTGAAACCATGGCAAATTTAACACACAACTTATTGGTTTCCTCAAACATTGTAAAAAACCAAGAATTAATGTGTGTTCACTGCACAGGGCAAAACGTACAACCTCTAACATGTTTTTAAACAGATCCACAAAGTAACTAGATATCAGAATCATTACGGAATTTCAGGCAAACCTTGCACCGAAAAAAAATCACACTGGATTCAAGCACCGATAAAGTGCATTGTTACATTTACAAAGCAATGTGTGTTAAGTCGCCTGAAAAGCTTTTAGAAAAAATAATATGTGTGTAAGTGAAATATGTGGAGGATCCTTGACGTTGAATATTTCAGCGAGTTAATCTGGAAGAAATGCATATATGTAATTGAAAATGGGCTATATGTCAATTTTGGATAAAATAACTTAGTTTCAGATTAATAGCGTATAACTTTATAAGCTGAACATTTAATGAAGTAGAAAAAATGTATGTAAAATATTGATTAACATTCAATTGGCATTTTCGTACTAGTGTATTGATATACGTATAAATACATGTAGGCCTAATAAGAGAGGTGATAATGGGTAGATGCATACATGTACCAACTATGAACGTCATTTGAGCTTACATTGGCTCATACTTGTACGGAAATCTCAGGCTGGGAAAGAGAAAAACAACACTAAAACTATCTCATGATCAAAACTAAATCATTTTAGCGATCTCAACATGAAAAGGCGTTTGATTGCTTGTTTGATATAAATATGATCAACTTGGGCCTACTCAATGTGTCTTTTACATAGGACCTGATGTACCTTGAAACTACAAATAAAAACATTATTATTAGTTGCAAAACCTACTTCGAGTCAGAAAGAAATCATCGTCTGAACTATCCATATGTCGACGGGAGGAGACGAGAAAAATATTGCAACCTGACGCCAGTTTTTTCTTCATATTATCATCTCAATGAAGGTCATTCATTGCAAAAATGACGATAAGACATGAATCTGGGACCGAGAAATTTTTCCAATTTTGTTAAGAATTACTTATGTAACCAGGTCGGGTTTTCGTACACACTTTTACCCGACAGGTTCCCTACTCCATCATGCATCACATGACATAACTTTAGTAAATTACTTGCATGTCACTTTGTCAGCCATGAGCGTTGCGTTTACGATCGATCATCTTTTGCCTAGCGCCCTTTTGCGGCCAACTAAATTTTTTTAGCACAGCATGCGCCACCAAGAATTTTGCCCGCTACTTTTGAAACTATGCAAAGAGCTTAACGAGAAGGCGAGTTCTACATTCCACCCGCTTTGTTTAGGCCAAAAAAAAAGTCTCCGGTCTCTGGTATGCGCGCGCGTCGCCGTAGCCATGCGCGTCGGCAAAATGTACAAGATGATGTTTCAAAACCGCCAAACTCACTGGTTTGACTGGAATTCTGCTGCTGCACAATTTTAACGTGTTTTTAGATGGGGTTATGATCGAGAATAAGCTTTATGTGGCCTCTCTGGAGTCCCATATATTTGCACTAAGTTTAGCCGGGCACCATTTGCAGTCATCAGCCGACATTATTTTGAAGCAAAAAAAAAAAACAGGTAAAAAAAAAAAAGCCGCGTCGCCACACCACTTTTGGGGCAAGCTCCATACCAGAAACCGGAGACTTTTTTTTGGCCTTAAGTTAGATAGCGGGCATTCCGGGCGTTTAGTATAGTTTTCCTGTAGGGCTAGGTCCTTAATATCGTTGATTCCGTTCCAACTCTACTTTGAGTTGACATCTTCCAGCTCCTGCACCTGCTTTGCGACCAGCATTTTATAGCGAGCATTGCACACTCCACTTTTATTACTGAAAATTTTGGGTGCGGCTCCCCGTTGTAGCAGCAATATAATTTTATAGCCGGCGTTGCCGGCACTGCAGTTTTCTGCATTATTTCCTTCAATTTTGCTGCTGATTCTTCGATTTTAACATCGAGCACGGAGAGGAAGGGTTGAACGTAGGTCATCCTAAGTGGTGAGTAAATCCCTTGTGTGTTATTTAACTTTTTATGCCTCTTTTTTTTGATGCCGTAATCTTTTTATGCAACATCTGTTCACCTACTGATGTATTTATAAAAGTATTCTTTGATTTAAAAATAAGAAAAACAGTGTTTCCCCGAATTACTTTGAATTTAATGATGTCTTTAATAATGTCCTTTGATATGAAAGTTTTCCCATAATTCATTAGTGATTTACTGTTTTTTTATGCATTTCAGATCATTGGATAGATCTCGACAGCCCATTTCCTATTCCGTTTTGACTGTCGTTCTTTTTATACCAAAGTTCGTTATACACTAATTCTTTTGTTACCACCTGATGTAAATTTGTATATATATTGTCTCATAAATTTGAAATCATTTAATTGTGTTGTAAATAAAATATTTTGATAAACTGAGACAACCAGAAAACTTCGCTCCACCCAAATTATTTAGTGGAACCACTCGGTTGAGAGGAGAGTGAACCAATTAAAACTAATTCATATCACTCTCCCCGGTTACACTTGGCGTAGTCGACAGGATAGCTTTGCTATCCACTTCATTTTGATGTGGGTGCGAACTTAGACAAATTATATCATTAGGGTTGAACGACAGTCAAATAAATAGGAAACTCGACCGGCACTGACGGCGTGACCAGATCCCCGGCCGTAGATGTCGACGCCCACTCATCAGGATCTACGCTACTTTCGCTGATCCTGGAATCACGGTGCTGCTACCCGGCCTGACCTGGTGACATCTTGAGCCTCTTTATTTACCAGAAATTCCAGCATTTGGGCTCCGAGGGACTTTGGTGTGGCCATTTTTCACCATTGAACTGGTAACTCCTACGCGTCACCAACTGACCCTTGACCCAGGTTCCCGGTGCCTTCCTGACCTGGTGCCATCCTGAAGAAACTCCAATTGTTCTCCAAGAGACGCTGGTGCTGCCTTTTGATACCACTGCACTGGTACCTGTCGATAGAACCTTTGGTAACTGTCTTGTTCAAGTTGAAAAGTTTTAATTTGCTTAAGCTGTTTCTTGCGGACAGCTGAATTAGGTTCCAGTCATTGTTCCTGCTGTCACTGGACACTTTTATTTTAGACTGGTACGCCGCATAAGAGGGTCGTAACTCGTATTGATTCCACGTTGTAATGGCTTCCCTTTGATTAGCCAGCGGAGCACTGATGAATTTTTTAAGGCGAGCTGCGCTAGTGTGCCATTTACTGCACTGTTCATGCAATGCAAACCTGTTTATATACTTTATTTAACTTGCTTACCATAGGAAATGCATTGTATGTTTTTACTGTTCTTTGACAACCTATAAAAACAAGACAAAGAACATAACGAAATTTTACCTAAGAAACACATATTGCGCCTGCTTAGAGAGTGAACCATTTAAAACTAATTCATATCACTCTCCCCAGTTACATAGGCCTAGGCATCTAATTATTTGGGAATGAATAGTTAAAGCAGACCTGAAAATAGCGCCCTCTTTTTTGCACTAAGATTGAGCGTATGGTGGCGATATTACAGAACTAATGCTGATTCCGTTAACTGGATCGGGCGGATCCAAACTTCCGGCTTAGGCAGTGTTCTTTCTGCGCAGTTCCGCTTCAACTATCGTCTTGTGTGACTGCAGCCAGGCAGAACTTTTCAGATTATCATATTGGTAAGTTTCTTAATCTCCCCCCCCCCCCTGTGTTGTCGTTGTTTATGCAGATATTTCTGTCGTGTGAATTGTCAATTTGGTGATTTTGTTTCAATGGATATCCGGGTTGTTATTCGGTGTTGAACTTGAACGTGTATGAATTTGTACATTTTAGGGCCGAGGAATGCAGTATCACAATAGCCAATGCAACCGTGTTTTACAGGCACGTCGCCTCGTATTTGGTTAACCAACAAATAGGTGTGTGCATTCACGGGTAGAACAGGTACCCTGTGAAGTAAAATATAGGTACACGGGTACCCTAAAAGAAACCCAAAAAAACCTCAAAATTCAAATCCCAGGAGTTGTTGTTCAAATTAATTTATATTTTATTTTAACAGTAAAATCTATGTGGAGTAGAAAGCAGTTGTTGAAATCTTGAATATCTTTCCATAGGCCCCCATACAATTATGTTGCACTGTGTAGTCATAAAAAGCTTATCAATCCGTGCTGTATTTTCCGAGTGCTGATCTACCAAATTATCGAGGTTCATAAAGGACTCTCATACATGAAGAGGGTGACTCGAAAAAAAGTGACTTTCGTTTCTTAAAAAGCAATCAAATTTAAACACCAATGAAGTATGTCTTAAAGAGCATGTTCTTCCACTCATCGTTAAGAAAATAATTATACTGAAATTGATCAATGCTATCGGACGTTATGCATGTTTTACTAAAACAACCCATTTCGATAGCTGTCTATGGAATGCAATTTAGCTAAAAGTGAGAATTACAGATTACACACAAACATTCCGATACAAATGAGATTTTCATCTCTTCAATCAAGACTGAAACATTATTTCTACTGTCAGATTTTGTATTTTGAATTTGAGGAATAAGTTTGTTTCCGAAATGATAATTGCAATTCTGGTCGTTTTCCTTTGTATGATCTCCTCCATTCATTCATTGTTTCAATGGGTATTCATCAGTTCGTTGAACGGTAAATAATTTATCAGTGGTGCATGGGCAGCTGAGTTTTGTGAATTTTTGTTATTGAAATAAATGTTACTTGGGAATAGAGTACACAAATTTCGTGGAATTTTCACAGTTAGTAGTCAATAACATGTACTTTTAGTTGTTTTTATGAAACAGAGCGAGCCACATATTGATTTTAAATTTCTTTCCAAGTTGGTCACTTTCGTTTTGACTCACCCGATATTGTTAGTCCCAACCAGGATGATGTGTGTGTTCCAAATTTCAAACTCTGAAATGAAACTGGAACTCTGTGTTGTTGCCAAGTCAAGTTCAATTCATATAAACGTTACTATGGCTTTCCGTCTCAGAAAATATGTTTCCTGTTACTGCCCCCCCCCATCCGAAAAAAGATTCCCAAGATGTGAAATGATGCTTGTATGGAATTACGTTTGGTTGAACCATAGAGCAAAGACCACATGATTGAAGCGCTCTTCTGCAGTTGTGCAGTTGTGCTAATCATTTATGGATACATGTATTCATTGTTGCATCGTCATGTCCGATTAACATTATAATGCTAAACTCACATCATCGACGGACAAGCTGTATAAAAGGCTTCTTCAATTTTTCCAATTCTCATTTCCAGCCCAATCTACTGATACCATGGCAACCCACGTTTCAGATGTCGGTCTGGTTCAAAATGCTGCCAAGGTTACTAACACCTTTGCATCTAATCTCTTCCGAGTGTTGACTGAGGGAGGAAGCTCAAACAACAACATCTTCTTTTCTCCTATGAGCATCTCCACTGCACTTGCTATGACCTTCATGGGGGCACGTGGTGAGACAGCAAGCCAGATGAGTCAAGTACTTCACTTCAACATCTTAGAAGAATCTGTCCTCCATCAGTCATTTGCTGACCTGAGAGCTCTGGTTTTCAGTCCTGAAGCACCCGCTGGTGAGACAGCAAGCCAGATGAGTCAAGTTCCTCCCTCCAACAGCGCAGAAGAATCTGTTAATCAGTCATTTGCTCGCCATATAAGGGCTCAGTTTGCGCGTCCTGCAATTCCTTGCACTCTGGTAGCTGCCAACAGATTGTTTGGTCCTAAGGGATTGGATGTCTTTGCGACATTTGTTGACGACAGCAAGAAGTACTACGGAGCCAGTATGGAAATTCTTGATTTCATTGGTGATGGGGAAGGTTCTCGTCAACACATCAACTCCTGGGTGGAGAAGCAAACTGCGAACCGCATCAAAGACTTACTTGCTGCAGGATCAATCGATGATATGACTCGCTTGGTGCTGGTCAATGCCATCTACTTCAAAGGAGATTGGGCTGCCAAGTTTGATTATCAGGACACAAATTTCAATGGGAAGTTCCGTACTTTGGGTGAGTCCGAGAAGATTACCATGATGCACCAGACAGGCAAGTTCCACTATGCTCGTGACGATTCCGTGAGCAGTTCTATCCTGGAGCTACCTTACCTCAAGAATGAAGTAAGCATGTTCATTGTGTTACCTGATCAAGTGGATGGGCTGGCTGATGTGCAAAAGAAGTTGAGTCAAGAGAAGATTGACTCCTGGGTGACAGATGCTCGTATGCGTGACAGTCCTACTGTCATCGTGTCTCTTCCAAGGTTTGACCTGGAGCAGGACTTTGTCTTGAATGATGTCTTGAGGAAGATGGGTATGAATGATCCATTTGATGTTGGCAAGGCTGACTTCTCAGGGATGACAGGAGACAAAGATGTCTTCATATCCACAGCGATCCACAAGGCTTTCTTAAAGGTGAATGAAGAAGGCAGTGAGGCAGCAGCAGCTACATCTTGGTCTAAGTGCTATGGTATCGATTTCCCACCAAAAGGTGCTGTAGAATTCAATGCAGATCACCCTTTCTTGTTGTTCATTTATGACAATAAGTCCAGAGCTGTTCTGTTTATGGGACAGCTGTGCCAACCAAAACAGTAGACTTTGGTGTGGCAAAGTATGGATAATTGTCAATGACTGTATAGCAGGTGTATTGAAGCACTTAAGCTAAACAACACTGGATGTGTTATACACAATGCATATGTGATCTTTTGATTAAAACAAAATTCTCTTCAGGACTTGTTGGCTAAAAAAGTATAACGTACAATGTTGGAATAAGCTCCTGTTCTTGAACTGTGATACATGGTATAATATTATATAGCATTTTGTTCTCTTTTTTTTCTTTATAAGTTCATGTTGACGAAAAAACAAACTTGAACTTCTCTAAAGACATTTTTTTTTGTTGCTAGGGAATGGACAGCAAATCATAGAGTGTACCATTGAAGCTTTTGATGAACAAAACCAATTATAAAACTATTCACAGATTCTACATGTATTATAAAAATAAACTGATGTGTATAATCAGGAAGTTTTTTAATTGAAACTGGCTGATTTATGTAATTGCAATAGACTTATATTTCAGCGTGGCACACTTTGAAGATGTAAAATGGAGTTATAATATGAACACAGAAAGTTGGATGAATTAAGGAATACTTTAAAATGAAAATTTTAAAAACTGAAACCCTTGAACATTGGCCACAACGCACATTGGTTTCCTCAAACATTGTAAAAGGCTAAGGATGAATGTGTGTTTTCGCTGCAAAGGGCAAAACTGGCAACCTGTGTTAACATAAATCCACAAAGAAACTAGATATCAGAATCATCATGGGACGCAAACCTTTTACCAAAGAAATTCATACTGCGTTCAAGCACCAATAAAGTACATTGTTACATTTTCATTGTGTGCGTTAAGTCACATGAAAATCAATCAGGAAAAATCATAATATAATGCCTGAAGTGTAAGTGAAATATGGGGAGAATCCTTAACGTTGAATCGTAAATTTCAGAGTTTATCTGAATAAAAAATGCATGCATCTAAATAAAATTGGAAATGGATTTAATTTTTTTTTATGTCAAATTGGATAAAGTAATAGTTTGAAATTACGACCTTGTAACTTTATATGCTGAAAAAAATAATGACGTAGAAATGTACGTACACTATCAATGAACAGTAAACCTGGCAGTTTACTATTAGTGCATTGTTATAATCACAGAGGTACGTATGTTCATGTAATAACAGACGTGATAAAAGACTGTGCGTGTTGTTAGACGGGTATAATTTCTGGTGATTATGTTTTGCCTTATCTGTGAAATCATCCAAATCATTTTGTAAACATGGTCATTCCAATGATTCGTCTATTTTCGTCATAGGTAAGATCATTGACATATTTCCAGTATTCGGAATTAGCACTCAGAGCTGCATCATTTATAATAATTAGAAAACCTGCAGGTGCTTATTTTTTTGCACAATGGACGCCTCCATTGAGAATAACATACTCGGAAGTATTATTATTAAACCTGATACATTTTAGATTAATAGCATGTAACTTTAATCAGGTGTTTTAACAATTAAGTGTTGCAATACAGCATTTCGTTAGTATTAAACTGTTCGCAAAAAGTACTAGGCCTGCATATACTGAATTCCTGAGTTCAATTCCAAGCCCTAAATACATACACCCTGCTGTTATAGCCTTTGTTGCAATCGTTACGGTTCTATACTTGTGCCCTGTACCCTCGGGCATTGACACAATGTCGGTGACGATAAGCTATTGGACAAATACGTGGGAGTTTCACGTCTGGATTTCAAAAAGGAAGAAAAATATAATGGAATTGAGGTCGTCTAAGGCTATGAAAAGAATTGTTGGTCTAGTTTTTGACGTGCCAGCAATGCCTCTTTTCTTTAGATTGTTTGTTGTGTTAGCTCTACGAGCAAAGGAAAGAATTCCGCAAATCTGAAAGTATAAATAACACTCCAAGGTGATGCGTTTAGTCTATGGACTGACGAGTGTTTCCCACAGTATATACACTTTATCTATATAATAATGTCTTTGTGAAGTTTCCTGCTTTTGTGACAAGTTGGAACGACCGTTTTCACTGCGGACATGACGAGTCCCCCCTTTTTGTAAATTGCTGCCACACCCCTAAAAGGGTAAATTTGCGATGGCTCCACATCTAAAACAATTTCTCGCATAAACATCTGTGCCAAGTTTCACGCTTTTATGAAAAAAGTGCACGATATTTTTCACATTTATGCTGGACTGTATTAGCCAGTGTTGCATGAGGTTTTTTTTTTCTCGTGATAGATTTTCCATTTTGTCACACTCACGGCCTCAAAACGCGCATGCGTGATTGCATGAAAACAGCCTCGTCACGGGCATCATATTGAGCACAACACGGCACTGTCTCGCGTTCATTCTGTATCTGTTTTTTAATTAATGGGGATATATTTTGTAGCATTTCATATTTAAAGGCATATAGGATTATTTGCTCTTCATGCATTTTGTTTGTGTCCAATAATAGCACCACTCAAAATCCAAAGAAAATTTGGCAATGCTAACCTATTGAAGTTTCAGCTCAGTGGAGGATAGCACAATTTTTGAGAAAAACAGTGAAAAGCAAGCACAGTCATGAAACACGATTTCGTCCACAGCACTCTCTGTATTCGCAAATCAGTCTGCCACTTGTTGCGGTATCAAAACGTGATCCTGAGAGGTTCAAAGAGTGTTCCCCAAAATGCAGATAGGTCCAGACAATAGTTAAACCCACTGACTATCTTTTAAGCATTGATTTCCACAACTATGTAGGCTTTCGTTCACGCAAGATGATTTCAACTCTTAAATTCCTTTTTTTTTTCATTTGAACTTTTTTAAAGCATACAGCATACAAACTTTACGACTCCACCCACGCGTGCCGCGGCATCCTGCTGGTAGTAAATAAGTAATAAAAAGACTATCGGTAGCGCGTGCATAATGTCTGTGGACTGAACATAGACATATAATAAATGCATACAGGCCTAGGCATCTAATTATTGGAAATGAATAATTAAAGCAGCGAAATTTCTGTGCAGATTTCTGCGATGTCGCACATTTTATCGCAGATTTCTGCGAGCGCATGGGCGCGCGAACACATTTTCTATGAGGCGCCATGTGTAAATGAATTATTTAACAAAATTATTTATATATAATTCATTATTTATTATGAAATTGAGTTTTCCGGAAAAATATATGTAAATAACTGTTTGGCAGTTTGCATTATATGTAAATAAATTTATTTGCCACTGCTAAAAATTAGATATAAATAATGAGGTACCAAATAAATTGAATATAAATAAAGCGTGCAAAAACCTACATATAAATAAAAAGATTGCAAATAAATTATATACAAATAAAAAAAGTGTGCATAGAATTATATATAAATAATTAGGTTGCACATAACTTTTATATAAATAATTCTAGTTTGCCCAAAATTATATGTAAATAATTAGGTTGCACAATTTTTTTTAAATAATGCAGTGGTAAATAAATTAACTTACATATAATGCAAACTGCCAAACAATTATTTACATATAATTGTCCGAAAAACTGAATTATATAATAAATAATGAATTATATATAAATAATTTGGTTAAATAATTAATTTACACATGGCGCCTCATATATACTTGCAGCACCCGACTACTATCCTATATGCAAAATTAATATCATGGAGGCCAGAACCCCGACATTCTTAGACCCCTTAGCTTCAGCAGAAAAATAGCCAGGCGCCAGTGTGTTAAAAAGATGCAGAAATGTACGATAAAAATGTGCGACATCCGCAAAAATCTGCGCAGAAATGTGCGATAAAATGTGCAACATCGCAGAAATCTGCGCAGAAATGTGCGATAAAATGTGCGACATCGCAAATTTCTGCGATAAAATGTGCGACATCGCAGAAATCTGCGCAGAAATGTGCGATAAAATGTGCGACATCGCAGAAATCTGCGACAAAATATGCGACATCGCAGAAATCTGCGCAGAAATCTGCGATAAAATGTGCAACATCGCAGAAATCTGCGCCGATTTCTGCGATAAAATGTGCGACCTCGCAGAAATGTGAGAAAAAATGTGCAACAAAATGTGCAACAAAATGTGCGACATCGCAGAAATCTGCGCCGATTTCTGAGATAAAATGTGCGACATCGCAGAAATCTGTGCAGATTTCTGCGATAAAATGTGCGACATCGCAGATTTCTGCGCAGAAATCTTGATGTGTGATGTCCCTTCAGGGCCACCATATGATAACCTTGTGGGAGACGTATTCATCTATAGAAATTGCCCTGTGGAGACGTATAAAATCTTTTGTTTCATATTGTACACACGTCTCCAGAGGGTACGGTGTATCCGATCAACCACACGCACACGGCGTTTGCCTGTCCGTTTTAGAACACCATAGTGCAGTGCCCGTTCAAAATGTGCAGCAGTGCGTGGCGCGGTCAGTATATAATGCACGTTTGTATGGTGTGGGCCTCCAAAAATGCGGGTTTTTTTCAGCTTCTTTAAGAACCGCTCATCCAAACAACTTCAAACTTTACACTGCACATTCTGGTGTCCTGAGCAATACACCTGACGATTGTCAACTTCATACAGCGCCCAGTTCTGGAGATAATCGTCAGATTTGACTTTTCAAAAGACCCTTAATTAAGTTAAAGCAAGTTCTATTTGCAATAAAACTTGGTGTTACAAAGACTGTATACTTTGTAGTTGATGAAAACGAAGCTACATCATGATGACGTCATGGATTTTGAAAGTTTCTACCCAATGCCTATAATTTTGTTTACTTTTTTTTTTTCTTGATGATGCAGTAAAGTCATCATGGGCTGCTTCAAGGTTGGGACCGGACAGTCTTAAAATTGATAATCGTTATCAAAAACTTAACTTTAATTTTTCCCTCTTTCACTTTCCGTTCATTCTTTGGGGTTAACCTTATGACTTTGGGCCATGTTTTTTCTTCCACAACTGATCAACCCAAACGCAGTCCTAAGGTCCATCGCCATTTTAAGAAAAGATCTCTCCTCTCTAGTGCTAAATGAAGTGACTTTTGAGCCCCATTTCATCCCAACGTTCTCAGAAATACAATTACTTGGGTGAAGAGCTGCATGGGGCCTAGTCCGAGTAACTAGAACTCTACGGACCACTTTTTTAACATTTGGACTTGGTTGGGCGATAGAAGAGTCCGAGATCAGTGGCCGTATTTCGTTTACCAATAATTTTTTCATTTTCAATAATTGTAACCCCAATCAAAATCGTCAGATTTCACCCCCAAACGGTCCTCAAACTGCCTTGTGCGCCCCCCCCCCCCCCCCCCGTAGGCTTCAGTGGGAAGTGAAAATACAAATGGTGGTGGTAAGGTTAACATACCTTTGGGAAGAACAGAGAAATTTCACCTTCAATTCGGGAAACATCCTTGTCACAAACGCCTTGTGTGAGGCTGCAATTTGAATTCAGGAAAAGTAGACTTGTGCATGGCTCTGGCTAGACTGTTTTCTGGCAAGCATCAGACAGACCAATCATAGGGCATTTTGATTGGTCGCCTGACCAATCACAGAGCACTTTGATTGGTCACCAGGTTTAAATTGCCCCCTCCCCCCCCAAAAAAAAAAATTAGATTATATTAAATAAATCACTATATTTGTGTTACTTTTGGTAATTACTTGAACCACATTGTGCCTGGAATATAAATAAAATAAAATATCAAAATCGTATTTGCAGTTATTGCCGTCTTTATTTCATGAGTCATTTTTTTTTATAAAAATATAATCAAAAATAAAATAAATCAATAAAAGTGTATGTATGAGAACTTGGGATGTCATTATTAGTGGTTTTTGTAATAAGACGCTTCAACTTATCTGATACATGTATTTAATAGCGTCACTGCTATTGAAAAGGGGGAAGTCTGTTGAAAGAAACTTCATTTATGGCCATTTATCTTTTCGACAAATCTCCCCCCCCCCCCACCAAAAACAAATGTGGGAGCAGAACTGAAAGATGTTACCTTGAGTTTCTCATGTGGGGTACGGTTTAACTATACCAATCCATTTTTTTTATGTAGCTGATACATAACATTTGATCCTAAAACTTGATCATTTCAAGTTGGACAAACTGTAATGAAAAGAGTTTGGCATCCTGATGAAAAATAATCTAGAATCTAGAATCTAGAAAAATCTAGAATATGCATGTAATATGAAACTTGAAAGAAGTATTATCTGGCAAGAACCGTGCAAACAGGTTTCTGACTGTGGCAGTAGAGGGCGCTCTTTCTTATTTTGTTTTTTCTCATGCAGAATTATCGGCGTTTTTATCCCAGATTTTCTCAATCCCAAACAAATTGTGGATCAGGAGACAAAGTTGTTTAGATAGAGTACGTCATAATCTACATGTCTTGGAAGTTTTATAAAATTCGGCGGACCAGATCGCGTACCTAGATAACTAAAGCGTTTTAGGCCTCTCGTCCCTCGGACTATATGCCCGAATTGCAGGTTGTTCATTGAATTAGACAGTCGTTCTATATATAGAGACTGGGGTACGAACACGGTATCTTATTCGCAGTTGGAACATTCGATTTCGTCTAAATGTTTTCAAATGAGCATACGGTTAAAATGTATCGCACGTTGGAATTTCTTTTCAGTTTTCGATTTTTACGCCGAGCATCTGAATTCGATAGAAGTCACTTTCAATGAAGATTATTGGAATAAGGAGTAAGCTAATGTGGCATGTGCATATCGCTTACGTCTATCACATGGACTATAAGAAAATCAGTTTCATTTAAAGAAATTTATATGATATTTAATATCGTTGTATTTAAGTGAAATTTCCTCCGAAAGTGATGACACACTTCCCTACAGTAAATTATCGGCATGTCAAACTTAATTTTCTTTCTATCACTTTGATACTTTATGCGTTTGTTATACATTGTTCATATTTCCTACTCTAAGCATTCGTAATTTTTTTCTGAAATTCCCGTACATTCCTTATTAAAACATTACTCAAACGTCATGTCATGACATGTTAGTTTTTGTTTGAACACTAAGACATTATGTTGCACAGGGAGTAGGCCTACCTGAAACATAATCAACTATATCTAACAAAAACAAAACAAAACAACCGACAACTGGTCTTAACAACAAGTGAAATGGAGAAAAAAATAGGCTTAACTCTGCTCTCCAAATGAAGGTTGCCTCGAGCCCCTAGTCTAAACAAAAGTGTTTTCCCCCTTTACTAGAAATCAAAATGGCCGATCAGCAATCCTGGAAAGATAATGCTGGTACGACTATGAACCCTGCAACTGTGATGTTTTCCGTGTTATGTGATGTTTATCGAGAATGTTTTCGAAAACAAATATCAAAACTGAGTTGCCACTTATCAAATGTGGGTTCAGCATCGTCACTTGATCAAACCAAACACCAGTTTCAAACTATTGCATTGATAGGTTATGGAGACTACTTATAGCCTTTTGAGTATCTGGTAAAGTTCAATGACAGAAGGAAGAGAAATATACCGAAGGCCTGGAGATAATCTAATTTCAGTGGAAAGGAGTATCCACAGGATTTTACGTATACATTCAAACAGTCAACGGATATTTCTGTCAGTTTACATTTTAATTTTATTTTTAAGGTCATTTTCTACAAATTAACATTGCAGCATTTAAGAACAACGAAGGTATGTGAATACAACAGTACATCGGTTTAATGAAAAGAGGCAATTCAATGACTTTCTGGTTGAATTGCACCAAACTATTTTAAACTATCTGAGCCTTAATACCAACATAAGGATCATTGCTCAACATTTTTAACTATTGTGTCCGAAAACAGCTTTAAATTATTGTTTTCAATGATTATGTAAGAATTAAATTACCAAATAAATGAAATTCTTTAGACACATCAGCCGATAACGTTCAACTTCGTAGCATTTTTATTAAATGCATTTTCTTACTGCTGCATATGGCGATTAACATATTATTACCAAAAGCAGATGCAAGACTGATGTATGGCAGTCACTTGAAGTACAGTAGAGTAATAACACTGAAAAAACCCAGATACAAGAATGATAGCGGTCAATCTATAGATAGAGTAGAGTATTAATATATATTAATGAAAAAAATAACAGATAAAAGACTGATGGCGGTCACTCTAGGATGAGTAGGTAATAATATATCATTACTGGTATAAAACCAGATACAAGACTGATGGCGGTCACTCTAGGTAGAGACAGTAGAGTAATAATATATTATTACTGGAAATAACCCAGACACAAGACTGATGGCGGTCACTCTGGGTAGAGTAGAATAATAATAATTACTGATAAAAATTGATGGCAGTCGCTTGAGGAAGAGTCGAGTACTAATATGAATATAACTGAAAAAAGATACAAGACTGATGGTGGTCACTCTAGGTAGATTAGAGTAATGATATAGTATTACTGGGGGAAAAAACCACAGATACAAGACTGATGACAGTCACTCTAGATACAGTAGAGTAATATTATTAGCGTAAAAACAGATAGAGTGGAGTACCAAACATTATATTGTAAAAAAATATATTAAGCCAGGATTTGTGCTCTTCACAACTCTTACCCAGCTATATAATGTCGGATCTCGAGGATTTTTTGCGAAGGGCTCCGTACTATGTATGACACAAGGAGGCCTAGTCAACTTAGAAAAAACACTAACTTTCAGAAAACAAACAGCGGAAAATACTCACAAAATTACTTTAAAAGACAATGCGTTGTCTTAATCGAAGCAAATATATACATAAGCGTGAATTATATTGATCAAGGTTAGAGGTTTAATTGCATAGTTATGATGCACTTTTTTAATATTTGATTTCATACTTATTTCTTAATTATTTAAGCCTAACAAATTTGGCAGTTTATATTTGCATAGGAATTTTCAATTACGTGAACATGGAAAGTAGCAACAACGCAAAAATGATATACTAAAATGGATTTTAGAAAATAACAAAACAAACCTAATAAAGGATTATTAACTTAAATTAGAAGTTTAGCAAGTGAATTTTGAGCGAAGAAATTTTAAAAGTACAAACCGTATTAAGAATCGAAGGATTTATTGATAATTTTTTTTTTTTTTAATGACGAAAACAAACTAATTTTGCCCGAAGTCGCTCAAGCTATGCACGACGGCTGTTTTCTGAATGCAGACTCAAGTAAAGTTCATGGAATCCTTTTCCATTTCTGAAATCCAACCATATAGAAAACAAACATGAAATGTTAACGCTGAGCTTCCGCCTGCTTGTTTTGTTAATGCTTACTTAACCAAGCTGCACTGTAAACCTGCTCAAGTTCCCCCAACCAGGCTGAGCTCGCCAGAAAAGCGTTTGGATCTAAACCGTAACAATTGCTTTCAATAATGTACTTAATAATAAAACTAGGTGTTTATAGATCAAAGCGCTTTTATAATTATTGTTACCCCTGCTCATTGGGCTATAACCAATTCCATATGCCCTCTCAGCTCCCTGGAAATATACAACTCAATCCAGCCATTTTTAAAACCACAAACAGCTTAAATCCAAACACGATAACCACCTTTCCCCTCACAGGTTCCAATATTACCCAGGGTGGGAAGAAGCAAGTTGTGACAAAGTGTCCTGCCCAAGGACACACGCCCCAACCCAAGGCTGGAATTGAACCCACTACCTGGAGAACAACCTAAAGATTTTCAATTCAATGTAACAGCTGTAGATTGCAAGGCCACAGCGCTCCCCGACGGTCAAAATTCCCGCCATGTTTGATAGTATTTTATGTTTTATCATGCTTGATTGCACCGACTTTTGTCAAACCTACCCCATGTTTTTATCAGTCTCCTAATGTCCGTGGCATGTTCATAGGCATTGCTCAAAAGCCTGTAAGTACCCTGAAGTATAACTGTAAAAGTGACTAAAATGACACGGGGTTCCAGTCGAAAGACAGGGTAAATACTATCTCTATTTTTTATTACCAAATAATCTCTGAAATGAACTCCAAAATATATACTTGAAACTTTATAGGTTATGGGCCTGATGCCATAACGGACTTCCATGCCGTAGAATTTAAAAAAAAATGGTTCAGACTAAACATGTGGGGTGCTGTGGTCCAACAATTACGGTGTTAATGATCGACTCGTACGTGTGCCGTGGTCATGGTTTCGAATCCTGACGGCGAACATGGTGCTTGTGTGCTTCAAGGGCAAGACACATTACTACGATTGCCTCTCTCCACCCAGGTGTAGTTAATGGGTACCTGGTAGGGAGAAATCCCTTCAAAAGCTTGGGCGCTGTAATGGCAGCCGCGCTAAAAGCCAGGGTAATAATAGAGCGCCATGATCGAGCGTCACTTCGTGACGGACATGAGTTATATAAAGAAGCCATTATTATTATTAAAAACAGCTGTTTCAAGAATGTTTAAATTCTAGGCACCATTTTGACATGGGATAGAATTTCGTATAATGTGTTTATTACCTTGTGCACAAGCAGCGCTGGCCCCGAAGGCCTGCTGTTGAACTGGGGCCTGGTTAGTCACGAACATGCCTGGGGCGCCTGGTGTGTAGGGCACGGCGGCTGGCTGGTTGTACACAATCACCTGTGGGGTGGCTTGAGTGGAGACGTACTGGATCTGTTAATCACAGCAACAGGAGGATCAAAATGACAGGTGCTTTATGAGTAATTGATTGAGATATGATTACGATAAAGTGTCGCTTTCCATAGATGAGCTTTTCCACGTCACAACAAATGAAACTGTGATAAATATTGGATACCTAATCTCAAGCAATAATAATGATACAATTTGTAGCGAAAATCACTGCACAGTTGTATAGAAACAAAGAAGCCTCATCAACCCATTTTCGATAGCCATGCGTGCTTTTCAAATGTTGTTGAATAAATAAACCTCAACTATGTGGGACTGAGAAACCATTTATTTAAGAACGTTATTCTAACATGTTTCTGAGTCTCCTAAGACTTTCTCTACACACAAGTCGTCTGGAGCTGTGCATCTTTTTTTTTCATAGATTGTTCTTCACCATGAAATGAGACTTGAAATGACGGTTTCTGTAAGTAAGACGACCATTTCTTTGCTCTTGTTTACCGTGGTGGTGTTGTTCAGTTGATATTCACTCATGACGAAGCAGCAGTACACAGCGGCAGTGATTGACACGACGAGTTCAAGCAAGGAAGTAATCACCAGGAGGGAATTCAACGGCGGCGCAGACAGCTATTGGTTAGAGGACAGAGGTTTATTGGTTTTTGTACGGTAGATAAAACTTTGAATATTGCTTGTTATTCTTTCTTCATTTTCAAAGAACAAATCTGCGATAGACCTACAGCCAAATACCTTTCTTAATACATATAAACTCTGACTGTGTGCCAAATGCATTGCTTGCATCATCAAAGGAACAATTCTCCAAACATTTCCCTTGACATTATGGTAACGGTGTTCGACTCATGTGCCGTTATTCGTGCGGGATATGCTTGTGTTCTTGGGCAAGACACTTTACTGAAATTGCCTCTCTCCACCCAGCAATACATGTGTGAGGGTAGAGACAAGAATGCGCTGACCCAGAGCTGCTGCAAAAACTGGTCTCATGATCTGATGATCAGGGGTAATAATTGTGAAGCGCTTCGAGACCTTTGGTGTAAAGCGCTATAATCGAATGGGTAATTATGTATTTCGCATATACAAGCAAAATACAAATTAGATTCATGTGCATTTTTAAGGGAAAGAGTTGAGTTTCAATTTTGTTCTTTTCCTTGATAAATGATGAATCCGTCAAAATAATAGACCTTTATCATGATTCCATCATTTCAGTCATGTTCCCTGTATCCAATAACAGTACTGAATGACAATTTTTTGTGCAAAAAGAAACCAGACTATTTTTCCTTCCAGCCTCGCTTTGTTTACATTGATTTAAATGGGGAAAAAATCAAGATGACCGCAACGTGATAATGGTCTATACAAGTATTTACGGTTTGAAAACCAAATATTTTTTTTTTCTATTTGAGGCAATTACAATTTGTTTTAATGCACTAAACCGATCACGCTACGACTGTATATTCAGTGCGGTCCCCTTCATTGTGTCAGTACAGAACAATTTGTCACATGACCTGGACGGATATCTGAACAATAGCTGGCGCAAGGCTTTCGCCATTGATTGGGGCATCCGTGAGTGAACAGTGATTGCGTGTTCGGATTTGTCTCTGTTGGGAACAATATTGGCTCTCATCTTACAACAATGGCCCAACCATACACTGCTAGATTGCTGGAAGCCATTACTGCAGAAAGGATGGACATGACCAGGCTTGCGATGGCCTGCGGAAAGTAAAAAGTAAGAAACAAACAAACAATCAAACAATCAAACAAAGAAAAACATTATATTTTGCGTAAATTACTCTCAAAACAACCTGATTTCATGTGTGCACATATAAAACAATACTGTCAATAAAAATGACCTTTTCTCCATTTGTTTTAAACAGCAATAACTTGACGTGATTTGATCCCCTTTCAGCGTCTATAATTCCTTTTTCTATCAGTTGTCTTCAAAAAGACTTCATCGCATGACTGATTTCATAACTGTGACAAGTTCCTCCATGGAACACGAAACATGCCTTCACAACATGTTCCTCTTCATCATTTTCTACTAAGTCTTGATGTGGAAAACCTACCAAGCATCTCCGCGAACTAACAGCCATGGTAACGGACAACACACCAAGGATTCCAGCCGGAAGGTAAAACTGAAATTAAATAAAAACAGGGAAAGGTACAACCTTTGCAAACATCAAAAAAAAAATTATCACGAAATATCTAAGTTACTGGATTGTTAGGGAATGACAGCCTAAAGCATCCTGTAGAATTCTGGCTGATTCTCTGACATTTCAATTCATCAAAGTCTACAAATTGCTCAATTTCACCTTAAGTGGGGTCAGGGATCCAGACTACCAGAACATGATTGGTTTTCTTGGGGTTTTTTTCTCCAGCATCTACGAGCCCAAAACGTGAAACTAGCCAGTTTAACAATATTTGCTATAACATTCTAATCCTCCCACTCCATTTATTTCTGAAAATTGCAGCAACAGCAAATGTTGTACATTTCCCTTTAATGATGAAAGTAAGAAGTAGACCTTCAGCTTTCCGGTGAGGTGACAAGATGCCCCTTTCTAAGACGAAAGCATTGAGCAAGCTATTTTTAACAAAATGCATCATAGGGCAGTTGTTTGCGGTGCAATAGCTAGCACAATGCTTCCGCCATTGAAGGGGGTCTCTGTGAAGCTACAGTGAAAGGGGTGTCGAACTGATTAATGGCTAAACTCCAACTATTGTGTAGACCGCATGCATGAAAGGACTTCCAGTGAATAGTCATTCTGACACGAGTATAGTTGTGTGCGCTCTGACGAAGATTATCCTTGAACCAGCTTTGGTATAATCTTACTTGGTCCTGGTTTTACTTGCACATAGCTTCTACATGTCACTCTGTTGTCGGTCGGTCCCCGAAAAATTGACAACTTGAGAAACGAGCACCCTAACTTTCCCCTAAAATACCGAATTTAAATCTACCCCACTAAACAATCAAAATATCATAGATAAATAAACAGCCATTACTTGTACCAAAACCTAAATTATTAAGACAGCTACGACAACCACCATCCACAACACCACCACCAGCATCGTCATACACACCACCTCTACCATTACTTCCACCACCACCACCCTACACCACCCATCCACCACCACCACACACCCATACCACCACTACTACCACCACCTTCGCAACAGCCACCAGTACTACTATCACAACATCCACTACCGAACCCAAACACAACACCTCTACCACCAGTTCACCTCTATCACCACCCACACCACCACATCCACCGCTACCACTACTACTACTACGACAACTACTACCACCACCACACTACATCCACCACTCCACAACAGCCACCGCAACCACCACGAACATCCTCCGCATCAACATATATACACAGCCGAATAAGAACGTAGGCTCACCTGAAAGTATTCACTATCCCGAGATGAAAACTAGAGCCCCGTTTCAACAGCACCGTTTCGCTTCGCCAAAAACAGAAACCAAACTAAACAGCAGTTCTGATATTGCAAAGACGAGGTACACCATGTCACTATAAGCGGGGCATTTGTGAAAAAGAGCCTTCGGCAGTTGCGTTTACGATTGACACTGAAGCACATGATCATATGCGTCGTATGACGACGGGCCTGTGACTATGGCAATGGTAGGCTGCGAAGTCCACAGTCCACAGTGGGGGAGGGGGGGGGCGCTGGGGGGCTGGAACATTTCTTGGGGGGGGGGCGTCATGTAGATCAATGATAATTTTTTTAGAAACTCAAAATCTCAGTGGGCGGGAGGCGACTGGGGGGGCGACAAATAACATTAATAACATTGATAAATATTCTGATTGAATTTCGTTACAAGATACTTGTTGGTGAGGTATCACATATTCTAGCAAATTGATAAAAATGTACAATATTACAATATGCAATTTTGAGGGAAATGGGCAAAATACTGCATAAATAATTTTAAGACACAATTTTACATTGACGATAAAATAAATATGACTGCAATAATTCCTCCCTCAGTTTTTGAAAGAAAAGATTCACAACCTTCCATAGTTAAAACTTTTTCTAATTGTAACACGGTGACTTCGGAGAACATCAATGAGGCAATCGAACAGTTCTCGTATCTTGTAATCCATGTGTCTATCAGTTCTAAGTTTCAAGTGGTGACACGTTAAAGGCCGTGCGACGGAGCTGCCCTGCAATTCATTCCTGAAATTATTGTTGCATTCCCTATTAGTTCATTAACACCGGTGACGGAGTCTCACAACACTAACTGGGGGAACCAAGAAAGCCAAAGGTTCTACCTGAACTGAGTGTGCACGGTACGAGCTTTCGCTTCGCAGAGACGGCCGGACTGAAGCGGGAGCGGACCGCTACAGTGACGGGGATAGCAACAGCTGGACGGGGCCATCGAGTGTACCGGATCACACTACAAATCGAACCAGGAATTTTTCAGTGGGGGGGGGGGGGGCGCTGGGGGGCTGGAACATTTCATGGGGGGGGGGGGGGGCGTCATGTAGATCAATGATAATTTTTTTAGAAACTCAAAATCTCAGTGGGGGGGGGGCGACAAGGTTTCATGAGGGGGCTGTCGCCCCCCCCCCCACGCCCCCCGTGGCTACGCCACTGACTGTCATACGGTGACCTAATACTTCAGCTGTACTGGTGAACTGGTGAGCTTTTTTATCCTTTTGATTCTTTTGATGTTCAAAAAGTCTTTTGACGATCTATTCATAAATACCTAAGACAGTTTACCCGTTCCCATAGGTCGAGAGCCCGTCACGTGGCCGGTCTTAAACGGATGATAAAGATGGCTAGCTGGACTTCAACACTTTTCCAGTCTCACATGAAATTCGGACTCCCATGAAATCCGGTCTTAGGTCAACAGTATTTAACACCTCCCAAGCACACATTTATTCCCTTAACATATCACATATACCAACAAAGAAAATATTTACGGAACAGGAATTTTGGAGAGGGAAAGCTGATGCAAATTCTTGGAGTCAAGATTGACACAAAATGTCACAGAGGATTGGACATTAGTTTAAGATAATAAGCGCACATTTAAAAAGAGCCCAATATTGTCTGAAACTGACGCATTCGATGTTATCTGATGTTTATAGAGATTTGAAACAAAACAATTCTAAAATGAGTCGCAAAATATCTTTCATTGCTTTCTTCAAAATGACAACATGCCAGAAAGAATAATTCCACAAAACGTTTAGTACAGTTATCATCTTTATTAAACCAAGTATGCTTTTCAACAATAATTTTGTCAGTTACACTCTTTAGATATAGCTGTAAAAAGTATTAAGCTAGTATACAGGGTGAGTCAAAAAACGAAACCCAAATGTCGGGACTATTGTTGTATTGAAGTTTTGCATGTAGCACTTTCAAAATCTAGGACATGAAAGCCCAATTCATACGCTTTCTTTTAGTACAAGATTCATTCAAATCACTTATGTACTTTTCAAGTTTCGGAATTTTAAACACAACCACCGTTTTAAAGTTCTGTCCACGGATCACAAAAACGGTGTGCGTTCTTTCAGCAAAACGAAAAAAAATCATATACAAAGAACACTGAATTTTTTTAGATCCGTGGACAAAACCTTAAACCGGTGGTTGTGTTTAGATTTCTGTAACTTAAAAAGTACATAAGTGATTTGAATGATTTTTGCACGAAAAGAAAGCTTATGAATTGTGCTTTCATATCCTAGATTTTAAAAGTGCTACATGCAGAACCTCACTAAAACAATGGTCCCAACATTTGGGTTTTGGGGTTTTTTTACTCGCCCTGTATTGTGTTTTCACCATTTTATCCCAGCCATTAATGACTGATCTCTGTGATTGGTTTGCGAAGGGTTGTGTATACGATGAACTTGTATGAAACAAGGTTAATACACAAAGCAGGAATAAAACATCTTCCAGAAAAAAGCAGCAAAATTACTGGTAAGTAATTTTAAAATGGGACGGGTTAATCTCAATCAAAGCAAATACACGAGCGTGAATAATACTTATTAATCAAAGTGAGAGGTTCAATGTCACAGTTATTTTTTTCACTTAAAGAAAAATGATCTCATACTCTTTAAGCCTATTATTTTTAGCAGTTAATACTTGCAATGGGAATTTAAAATACATGGACACACACTTAAAAACACACAAAGAAGATAATAGATCATTCAAAAACAGACTTAATGTAGTATTAGTTTGTAAAATTAGAAGTTTAGCAAGTGAATCTCATACTCATATCTCTGATCTCAATCATTTTAAGATCAACAATTTTGGCAGGTAATAGTTTCATAGGAATTTTATGTACATGTACGTGAAAAGCAAATACAACACAACAATGATATGTTAATGAATTTTTAAAATTACCAAAAAAGTTAATAATGTTAAATTGGAAGTTGAGCAAATGACTCTCATATTCATTCCACAATGGCTTTAAACCTAACAATTTTGGCAATTAATACTTGCATAGGTATTTTAAGATAAACAAACAGCAAATACAACACAAAATGGATATACATGTACTTACATGGATTTTAGAAAATGACCAAAACATACTGAATATAGGATTTCCTTGTTAACTTGAAAGCTTAGAAAATTAATTTGTAGTAATGGAGTATTGACAGTACAATCTGTATTAGGAATCTGAGAAATTATGAATAAAGTTGTTTTTTAAGTTACCAATTTGTTTTTTTTAAATGCCCGATGTCGTTTGGAGCTACACGATGGCTGTTTTCTGAATGCAGAATCACGCAAAGTTCATGTTGCACTTTCCCATATCTGCAATGCAACAAGACAGTAACAACAAAACATGAAACGTTTACGCTGACTTTCAGCCCGTATACACACGTATTTCATTCTGAAGCCAAGGACAGATCGGGGCCCCCCCCCCCAAAAAAAACCCCAAAACCAATTGTTTTGTAAGTGACGTCGTAATGAGGGCGGGCACCGCGTACACCGCCATTATTTCCTCAATAAAAAATTGTTACGGTGTCAGCAATAGCCTCAGATCGCGCCAGTATAAAATGATCCAAAAGCTTTCAAAAATCGCCCGAAGCCAATGATGAAACAACGAATTAGAAAATGAGATTATAATCCGCCATGTGCGTACTAGAAAACATGAGGTGGGAATCTGTGACACGTTGTAAGTTTGTACATGACAAGCGGCTGCTGTACCTTACTTTATTCGCCAAGTGACGTGAACATAAATTTGCACCGTAAGTCATTGCAAATACTATTCGCAAAGTTTTGCTTTTATTTTGGGACTCGAGTCTTATGGCCTGCGCTCGAGTCTTCTGATGAGGGACTCGAGTCGCATTGAGACATTTTTCCCAGTGTCGAGTGGAGTCATTTATCCTTGGGGACTCGAGTCGAGTCGAGTCACCCAAAATTTTGACTCGAGTCACCCAAAATTTTGACTCGAGTCGGACTCGAGAGTCGAGTCATTGATTGAGTCATTACAACTCTGCCCCCTGATGCCAATATAGAATTCATGCCGTGCCGATTTTTTTTAAATGGCTAACACTAAACATGTCGAAAATTGGTCCTTTGGAGAGAGTTTAAATTCTAAGCACCATGTTTCACATGGTCTACATTTTGTACATGTTTTAATTACCTTTTGTACCAGCAGCCTGGCTAGTTGCAAGCGTGCCTGAGGCGCCCGGTGTATTAGGGTTCGACTGGTTTGCTGTATGCCGTTCCCTGTGGGTCGACTTGAGTTGCGTCGTACTGGATCTGTTAATCACAGCCACAGAAAGATCAAATGACAGGTGCCTTATGAGTAATTGATTGAGATGAGATTACGATGGGGTGTCATCTTTCCATAGACAAATTAACTGTGATGGGATACCTAATTTCAAGGTTAATGATAATCGTTACAATGATACCATTTATAACGCGAAAATCACTACATAGCTGTGTGGAAACAATTACAAAGTAGCGTTTCGAGGGAAGTCAGTAATAAGCTTTTGCCTCTTCAACTCATTTCCGATAGCCATGCATGCATTTTAAATGTTACATAAAACTTCATAATGTTGGACTGAGAAAAACAATTGAGAAAGTTGTTTTAAAAAATACTCACTCTCCGTTGACATTTTATGCACAATTATGAAAGAGTTGTCTGGAACTGTGCATCCTTTCCCATAAAAATGAGACTTGAAATGACAGTTTCTGTTAAAGTAAGACGACAATTTATTTGCTTTTGTTTACCGCAGTGTTGTCGTTCGGTTGTTCTTCACCCATGACGAAGCAGCAGTAGACAGCAGCAACGATTGACACGAAGACTTCACTCGAGGAAACAATCACCGGGAGGGAGTCCAAGGCCAGCGGAAAATCCGGCTATCAGTTACAGGACAGAGGTTTATTAGTTAAGTTATGCATGTGCAACTCGTGTGCCGTGGTACGTGGGTTCGGAACCTTGACGGGGAACATGGTGCTTGTGTTCTTGGGCGAGACACTTTACTACAATTGCCTCTCTCCACACCGGAGCGTAAAGGGGTATACAATGTACTTGGGGAGCGAGAGACCACAATGCGCTAATCTCATGGCTTGATGATCAGGGGTAATACTTGTGAAAAGCTTTGAGACCCTTGGTATAAAGCGCTATTTAAGCACCTAATTGGTATGTATTTGCATATACAGGGTGCCCCCCCCCAAAAAAAAAATGGAACCCTGAATATTTGCCTTTTTTCAAAAACTTGATCTGTGAATTTGTACGGGTTTGGTATCAGATTAAACCTGACAGGTTTTTTTTTCTGTTAAATACCGAACAAAAATCATGGGAATTATAAGTGTGCACTGAATTTGACCGATCCAGTAAGCTCCGCCCAGTGCGCACGTGGGCAAATTAACACGTGCTTCTCTCCAATGCCACGCTGCATTTTCCTTCCGCGCGCATCATACGCGCGTGCACGCATGTATATGTCGGACTTTAGTGCACGCATGTCGGACATAAATCACGGTTGTGATTGGTCAGAACACCATGGGGCGGTGCCTACTGGATCGGTCCATTGGATCTTTAGCTTACACTTCCATCATAGACCTTAAAACGGAAGAGGGCAAGGTCGGTTTGGATGGAGAGGCCGTATACTGCAACATTACCGACAGCCATTACTGCAGAAAGGATCGACATGACCAGGCACGCGATGGCCTACGGAAAGTCAAAGCAAACAAACAAACAAATAAACAAACAAACATTAAATTTGATGTTAACGTGCATGTATAATTCTCTCAATACAAACTGACTTTCTCGGGCGCTCATAAAACAAGGAGGTTAATCACACCGACTTTTTCCCATTGCCGATTAGGTCCCCTTATACAGCGTGAAGACTTTTCTTTCAGTTTAATTAATAATGTTAATCTTTGACTGATTCAAAAGTGTGCAGGTTCTATCCATGGAACAAAAAACCAGACAACCTTCACAAAATGTTCCTGTTCTATAGGCGCACGTGCCGTTATCACGCCTCTAAGCAAAAATTTTGGAAGTCGTTTAGGCCTATCCTTGTGTAAAGGTTTCGTGGTTCAACTCATGGTTGATGTAGACACTTACCAAGCATTTCCGCGCACCGACGGCCGTTGTTACGGACAATAAGCCGAGGATTCCAGCTGGGAAGTAGAACTAAAATGAAAAAAACACACACAGTTTTTTTTTACTATACGCCTGAGGACAACTATTGTGTTTTCCTTTGTCCCTCTAATATAACACTTTCCCATAGACTAAGCACATAACCGTACGATCGAGGACCGGTTTTAACAATAGGCACCGTCGTCCGAGGGTCAAAGGCTCCTTTGTGCTCCTTTTGTTGTCTGTCCTCGAGCGTAATACAATACAAGAGCACACACACACACACACACCCAGACTTACGTTACATACCTTGTGTGGACATTGCTTTGTTTTCGTGTAGTTAAGAAAACTTGGTACAAAAAATAACTTTACTTAAACTGTGAAAACTCTTTTAACCCAAAAATGATAAGCCTAACCCAAAAATGCCTCTAAACCTGTTTTCCAAAGGACAAAACCTTATGTGGACACGGCTTAGTCCACATAACGTTAACACAACCTGCATTATGTGGACCTCTTTTGTTCACAAGTCCACATAGGGTATGTAACACAAACTCACACCCACACACACACCCAGACTTGTTTCACATACCTAGTGTGGACTTTCCTTTCTTTTCGTGTAGTTAAGGAACACCAGTGGAAAAACTCATTTTTCTCAAACTGTGAAAACTCTTACAACCCAATTTTTTTTCAATGATTCCCTTTAGTGTTTCTCTTCATTCTGCTACAGATAAACCTAACCCAAAAATGCCTCTAAACCTGTTTTCCAGAAATGGGGAAACACTGTGTGGACGTGGGCAAGTCCACACTTCGTCGCTGCTACCTACATTATGTGGACGTCTTTTGTTCGGAAGTCCACACTGCGTATGTAAGACAAGCTCACCCCAGTGATACAGTATCGGTCAACTGTTTGACGTTATCAGTTGGTGATATATTATCCGTTGGTTATTACATTATCAGTTGAAACAAACTCTCCTTAAATGAGGACCATAAGCTTACTCTGGTGAGATGACTAGAGGCCCCCTTTCAATGACGAAAGCGTTGGGCAAGTTTTCGTTCAGAAACCGTCACATGGCTTAGGATACAAAGGCTAGCACAATGCATTCGCCATTAAATGGGGCCTTCGCAAGTGCAGGTCTCGAAATTGTCTATACCTTGTAACGCCTTATGGGCTAAACTCCGACCATTGTGTAAACCAGATTTATGAAAAGATTTTCGGTAAATAGACCAGTCGCTGTCTGAGACTAGTCAGGCAGATTTTCTACTCTTAGCGTCATTGCCTGTCTAATTTGGGGAGGTCTTATGGTGAGTGGTTTTTCTTTGGGCATTTTATTTTTCAGAGGGAATCGGGGTCCTAGCTCTCTGTATATTGATTATTCACTGAGATAAAACAAGGGTATATGTATAGGCGTGAAGAATTTCTGCTATTGTGCGATGCTGTGGCCGAGTCCATCACGAGTCCGCTTAAAAAAAATATAGGAAGCACCCAGCGAAAAAAACAGTCTTAACTACACTCCATCCCACCGGCGTAGCACGCAATTGAAAGATCTTGTTGTCGCCTTTAATTTTGGTAACGAATTTCTTGTAGTTCTGAAAATGTGATACTGCATTGTTCAGCCTTGTCCACTTCTCCGTTGAATTGCCCAAGAGGTATTTTACACTTCCAGTCACAGATGTTAAAAAGGAAATGGACAGAAAAAAAAGAATACGTTTGCCACAGCTCATTCAAATAGCATGTGACCTTCCGTCAGACTGGCTTGTGGCCGAAAATATTTCACAGAAATTGCGCAGCTACCATGCCGTCGTCCGTCGATGCACTCTAAAAATTGGTTGCAACAATTCGTAAAGTTGTGTAAACAGAGGTAAGATAAGTACAGTATTGTAATAGTCACGCGGTATTTTCTGTTGTGGTTGGACGGTATCCAGAAGGAGGAAATGAAAATTGACAAAAGTGTGGTGTCGCATTTTTCGCCAGAGCTTATTGAGGACTTGTTCTCGAGTTGGACAGAACTATCAAACATTTTTCCTCATGTCACCTATATGACGAGACGCTTTGTAAAAAGAGGGGATCTTTTGGCATTTCAGATGAGGTGCTAAGTAGTCTTCGGTAACATTTTAGTTACCATTCAACCGGCATCCACGGCTTTCGATGATCTCTACATAATATAGGCTGAGATGCCGCACGAGTCCAATTTTATTCGGCGAGGTTTTTTTTCTTCAAACCTGTGGTTACTTTTCAGTTTTACCTTCCGGCCGGGATCCTGAGTGTCGTTTCTGCGTGCGCGTCTCATTCTTCTCGAAGATGTGTGGTAAGATATTTCACTGAAAGGGCCAGAATTCCCTTTAGAAAAAGTCTTGCAAGCATGCCTTAAGAATCCAGTTGATTTTTTGTAAGGGAGATGTAGTTAATGAACTTTCCCTAAAAGGGCTAAACAAAGAACGCACTGACTTGGATTCAGTTTGTTGAGTTTCAAGTAGGGTTGGGTTGGGTAGGGTTGGGTTGGGTTGATTTGGGTTGGGTTGGGTCCCGAAGTTCCATGATTGACGATCGTGTACAAAACGTATAGGAGGTCTTGCTAAAGAAGTTTGGTTGGGTTGGGTCGGGTTGGGTTGGGTCGGGTTGGGTTGGGTCGGGTTGGGGTGGGTTGAGTCGGGTTGGGTTAGGTTGGGCTGAGGTCGGTTCAGTCGAGTCGGGTCGGGTCGTGTTGGGTTGGGTTGGGGTGAGTTTGTTTCTGCATTGAATAGGGGACGTCGAACAATATCGAGGGGTCCCCAATTTTGGATTCGTGTACAAAACATATGGGAGGTCTTCCTAAAAAGTACAAACAAAAGAGGGACAATCGGGGGTCCCCGATTGCAGGCAAATTGGGTTGGGTGCACAGTCATTTTCCTGTTGCGTTGTATTTTTCAAATTGCCTCCATTCTTTTCTCAGGCCGTAGGATGGATGGTGATATCTATTCTAGCCGCAATCATGGCACGTGGAAATATTATATATGCAGGCATCTCCATCGCCACTGACCGATATACCACGTAGGTTCAACGTTAATTGCTTGTAAAGGAGTAACTAACAAGATCTTTAAAAATGGCCAAAATAACTTATTTAAACGAAATGTACAACATTTGCTTTTGCTGCAATTTTCAAAAATAAATGGATTTGGAGGATTAGTATGTTATAGCAAATAATGTTAAACTGACATGTTTCACGTTTTGTGCTGGTATATGCTGGAATCATGTTGGAACCAATCATGATCTTGTAGTTTGGTTCCCTGACCCCACTTAAGATGAAACGGAGAAATGTAAAGACTTTGGGGAATTGTAAGGTCAAAGATCACTCTAGCAGGCTTGTACCCCTTCACAGGTGTGTAATCAATTGCAAAGAAAATGCGGAATAACTAAATATGAAAAATTAGGAGCAGTTTTTGAAAAAAAGCCAGTTTCTTCCAACGTTGGTTGGAAAAATACAGATTTTCTTGAAAATGTCAGCACACCAGGAGCCACAATTCTACAGGATGAATTAGACTGTCTTCCCCTAACAATCCAGTCAGGTATTTCGTGATAATTTGATCATTTCGTTTTTTGATGTTTGCAAATGTTGTATCTTCCCTTTAAACTATTGGCTGTGTTGCGCTTTAAAGGGGCACTAGGTCCTGAAATCCCTGAAGATTTCATGTTTTGGATTGTTTACTTAGCCTATTTCAAACATCTGGTTGAAAGGAAACCAACCTAATGTCTTACCGTTCCCGAGAAAAGACGAAAAAGACCCGGTTGTGTACATCGAACACGACGGAGTACGTGTCGTTTACACGTTGTGTGTCTCGGGAACAGCGGTGACCAATCACCAATGCACAACATATGGTATGGTTTCTTCAACGTCCGCAAAAGGCGAAACAACATTACGAATGAAATCACAACTAGCATCTAAACAGCTCGAATTGATGGGGTCGCAAAAATGGACCTCGAAATTCGTTTTCGCACGCATAATGCAGGAATAACACAAAAACGCCCAGTTTCTAAAGGATAGTTGTGTGGATGTTTATATCCTACTTTTAAATGTTCTTTCCGATTAATATCATCTCGTTCAAAGCACGTTTTGTAGCCCAATTGGCCTGTTCCAGGACCCAGTGTCCCTTTAACAGGGTGTCCCACGAAAGGGTTACCCACAAGCAACGAAATAATAATGATCAAGCATGGGCGTCACCAGTACTTTTTTTAGGGGGAGGGGGCTAAGCACATTCCCCCCCCCCAAAAAAAAAATACCTGTACTTTCTCTAGCATTCTCAATTTATCATTTTACCGAGGGAAGGCTGGAGACATTTGCCCAACCACCCCATTGATACCCCTGTAGACGCCCATTTGTTAAATATGCATTAAATTAATAGCAAATATGATTTCACAATTTTTTTTTTATTTTCGGCTTTTCGTGAACAGTTTATTCAGGGTATCTCCGCCTATACGGTAGGCAGACTGCCATGAAGCCTGGTACCCTGAATTAGTTATCTTATCGGTAGTGTTTAAGTCTGCCGGTTATGCTTTTTCCATCAGGGGACGCTGGTGATGGCCATGGACGGCATAGTGACGATCGTCAGCCTGGCGGAGCTGATCATCGCCATAGTGTCTGCCGTCTACTGCTGCCTGATCAGGGGCGAGCTGCCCTCCCAAAACACCCCCACGGTAAGCGTCCACCACGAGGAGAGAATCGAGAGTCCATTGTAAGGGCGCCCAGTGCAAGCTCTGTATTGAGCCAGTGCCCACCAACAAATGGCTGGAAAGCTCAGTTTGACGAGCTAGCCTCGATATGGTTGTAAACCACCGAAAGATATACCATAGACTGCAATGATACAAACCCTTAATTCCAAAAATTATATAAACGTAAACCATTGCAATGAATGCTCAAAACACATACATAATCAAAATCAAGATTACTTTTTATTCTTCTTTATTTTCAGTCTCAGTTTTGGGTAGACGTTACTTAGGCGTTGTTTTGATTATTTCAAGCCAAAACTTATCGTGCCGAAAAGCAACACTGGTAGAGACCTTTTAATAAACAGCGTGTCGTCAACATTTTTATTGCTCCTTAATCGGTTCAACTCATTGGGAAATACACACAGCAGATACTGAATGTTATTATTAACGAAAAAAATATATATTTATTACATAAGTTTGCTTGTGTTAAATTCCCACTTCAATTCAAAACTAAGTATTTTTGGTGTGCAGTTGCTAGTAACGTTGTTTTTGTCCCTGTCGCAATTTTACACAGATTCAGTACATGACAGCGCCCGCATACCCGACCACGGTGGTGACGCCCGCACCAGGACCCCCAGCCTACGCAGCCACACGTGCCCACGTTGTGCTACTACCATCCCGCCCAAAATGCACCCAATGTGATAATGACCCAGCCGGCGATGCCCGGCACCGTACAGACAGTCAACCTGCCTGAACCCAAAATTTAACTGGGGGATTGGGAATATGTTTGCTCCAACTTGACGATGTAGAATACCTTATCCGAGTACTTTTTCATATTACAGATTGCGGTGGTTTGTTTTTTTTACAATGAAGAAATTTAAAACAGATTCAATGAGCGCTTGTCCATAAAATGAATCAGTTCTTTAGATTATCACCTCGCACATTCTAATCCATTGTAAATTTGTAATGACTATACTGCATAAGTGGAAATCTAATTTCGAGGTAGTGTCACCTATTCGGTCAGCCGCTTACAACCAATAACAAAATGCCACTATAGAAAAATCGTGTATTCACAAACAATCTTCTTCGTTTATTATACTGTCCTCTTAAAAGCAGTTTTTCCGCATATTTATCTTTTCTGCATATTTAGCTTGGATTTACTATAAAACGGAATCGTACACTGTACTTAAGAAGTGCATCTCGAGGACTTTATTGTACGGTTGCAGCAAAAGTGCAAAGCGCGATCAGCGCTCTCGACTCCATCTCGAGCCACTGTAACTTACTCAATGAGCTGTTGTAAAATTAAGTACAAGTATTACTCGGTAGCACGCATTTATGTATGATCAACCTATTAGTAATTCGTCTCGCAGCTATTTAACTTTATACATTCATGTAGTTTCTTGATGCATGGACACAATGACGACACTCCGTTATAGCCAAACGGTGCATTTCGGAGAAAAAAAGAACAAGCTCGATCGAATCTCGGATACGGAAGCTACGGAGGCTCCATGCATGAGTCACGTGATTGTGCCATGTTATTTCTGGAAGGAATAGGTTTTGAGTAAAAGCAAAAACTCAATTTTAGACCCCGGTGACTCCATGATGACCTTAAGCCCCAGTTTGGTCATGTGACATGTTTGGGCTGATCTTTATACTTTTGACAAAGTTTGGTTGAAATCGGTCAAAATATAAGAGGTAATGTCAACGTTTGTTACTAACTAACGGAAAGACATGATGATTATTTTGTTGGGCTGCTATCCCACAGCTAAAAACCTTGTTCACAAATTATTTTTCAAAGTGCATGGGTAAAGCGACATTACAATCTGTGGGCCTTAAAAGCCCTTCATCATTCTGCTGGAAAAGTATCACAAAACAGAAAGGGGGAAATGAAAAACAAAATGAAACATTGAAGTCAGTTGAAGTTGTTTTTTTTTTTTTTTTCCCAAAACTAATTCTCTGGAAGGATTCCATATTGGACAAAAAAGGACAGGCGTTAAGAGATTTTAATAAATGTATAAAATACCTTTCCAGAAACAGTTGGCATTCTGAGAGTTGAAGAACTAATGCATGGTGCGGAAGCTTTGGGAGTGGTTCTATGAGGTCCGCACTGTAACACTTCGAGAGGGGTATGTTTGACAGTGTTAATTCCGCTCAACTAAATGATTTGTCTTTTGATTTGCTCAACTATGATGTGTCTTTCTGTGCGAAGGGAAATATGGGCCAAAACTTATAACGGGTAAGGAAAGGAATTTAAGAACAAATATTAGGGAAAACAGCTTGAAAAAGGACTTCAATCACTTATCTCCTTGTCACCTGCAATTACAGAGGCGTAGCCATGGGGGGGGGGGGGGGGGGGGGTAAGGGGGATATTTCAACCCCCCCCCCAAAAAAAACTTGTTTGTAAAGACTGCCTCTTTTATCCAATTAAGTGCCTTTTTTAACCAGCGTTTTAACCCCCCCCCTTTTTTTGAAGAGTGCCCTTTAAAAAAACACAAAAAAACAAGTGCCCTTTTCGTTAAAAACAAGCGTCCTTTTTTACAGGCGGCCTTTTACGACTACCCTTTTTGGAATTTCGCGCGACCGTTTGCAATTGTGCTGCCCTGACAA